AAAAATGGCACTAACTGGAGCAAAGGATATTCATCTACAGTATGGGAGGTGAAACACCTTGCTCAACCCCAAGTAGGAACATATGCATTGAGCAAGTCAAAATTTTCACTCTAGAGGTGACCCCGAGAGCACCAGGGAAGTTTTAAAGAGTAGGCAAACACGGAATCCATGAATGAGGATGCTCAATTGTACTTACTATGTTACAAAGCTATGACATCCATCTGCCTGAGCTACAGAATAGATCTTCATGCTCCCATATTTCCATAACATTTTAGAAAATATTTTTAAGTAATCTCTACACCCAGCATGGGGCTCCAACTCACAACCCTGAGATCAACTCTGCTCCACTGACTTAGTCAGCCAGGCACCCCTCCATAACATTTTAAATGTCCACCGTCTGAAAGTAAATACTTAGTTCCTAATTATTGGTAGTCGATAGTTTGCTTTTACTCCGTTTCAGTGGCATGGCAATTCTCTGTTTAATCATTCAGTAACATTGAGTACTTAACTGTGTGCCAGAATTTTATTAGGCACAGCCATGAATTAAAAATTACAAACATAGGGGCACCTGGCTGGCTCAGTGGTTAAGCATCCGACTCCTGATTTCGATGGTCTCACAGTTCGTGAGATCAAGCCCCAATTCAGGCTCTGTGCTGACAGCATGGAGCCTGTTTGGGATTCTCCCTCTCTCTACCCCTGCTCGCTCTCTCTCGCTCGCTCTCCTCTCTTTGTGTGTGTCTCAAAATAAACTTAAAAAAAATTACAGATTAGTTAAATATTACAGCCCTCCCCCCTTAGACCATCAAATACTGTGATATGTGCTATATGGTAGGGATTTGTCCTATGTGCTGGATATCTCTATCCCCTCCATCTCTACTCCACCCTCTTCCCCATGAAGCTGATGAATGGACCACAGCAATGAGCTCCTTTGCCTCCTGGCCTCTGGGTGGGTTTGGCCGAGGAGTGCCCTGGTCAGAAGTAGACTGATGGTCAGAATACCTATTCTTTTGGCTCTGTCACCATCTTTTCCAAGCTTCCCTTCACTAATTTCCTTGGATTTGCCACTCCCTGTGCTTTTCCTTCTGCCCAAGAGGTAATATCAGCTCTGCTGCCACTAATCTGGAGTTGCTCAAGTTACTGTGCTTCCTGTTGTGGTTCCCTGCTCCCAAACCTTTGTGCAGTATCTCCTCAAAGTATCTTTTTTTTTTTTTTCAACGTTTTTATTTATTTTTGGGACACAGAGAGACAGAGCATGAACGGGGGAGGGGCAGAGAGAGAGGGAGACACAGAATTGGAAACAGGCTCCAGGCTCCGAGCCATCAGCCCAGAGCCCGACGCGGGGCTCGACTCACGGACCGCGAGATCGTGACCTGGCTGAAGTCGGACGCTTAACTGACTGCGCCACCCAGGCGCCCCTCAAAGTATCTTAATTTAAGGACCATCTGCTTCCCATTGGAACCAAGACAAATCAACCAAAGAGAAATTCCTAGAGGACAAATATTCCAATGAGTTTACAACCTCTGAGAGGTCCTTGTCTCCAGTTATTAGAAAGGATCTCACAACCTTGCAGAACATGTCCTAACAGTTTTAGTAACTAAAATCCTATTCTAGTAGATATCTATGCAGATACTACACAAAGAAATGAATTTGTCTTCTTGGACAAGTCTTAAGCCAAAGTCGGCAGCGTTTAGCTGTGAGTTTATGAGTAGATCCAAATGCATTTACTCCACTTTTCCAACCTACCCCAGAGATCCTCTGAAACTTAAATAACTCACATGGCTTTTCCATTCAAATAAATTTTCAGGCTGAGAAAGGACATCCTTTCTTAGATTTATAGTTTTTAGGATTGTCCAAAAGGCCTATAATCTCCATCCTTTGCCTGGTGGTACAAAAGGCAGGAGGGCTAAGTTTCTCTGGAATTAGATCACCACACTTTGGTCGTATTTCAAATGAATGCCACCATCAATTCAATTTTTTTGTGCCATGGATTCTTTTTCAGAATAATGTTTTTAAGCGCAGAAAATGAAATGCATGGGATTACAAAGAAAACCAATTAGGCGCACCTGGGTGGCTCAGTTGGTTGAGCTTCTGACTCTTGATTTCAGCTTGGGTCATGATCCCAGAGTCGTGTTGTCAGGCTCCAAGCTGAGCATGGAGCTTGCTTGGGATTCTCTCTCTCTCTCTACCCTTTCCCCTGCTCACATGTACTCTCTCTCTAAAA